GCAGCAGCACTAAATGTTGATTTCGGGAGAGTAGGGAAGCAATGGTGTTTGCCAAATAGGCAAAATATATTTCTACAAAAGATCACCCAACAGAGGGTTAACAAAACCCATCTCTGTCAGCCAGTGCAAACACCCTTGGACCAAGTCAGTAAGCAGGAGGCTGACAAAAGTTCAGATAAACAATGTATCCCATCTGTAACCTAAATAATGAGGATGACAGCCAGAGACACTGTGGGCAACTAGGCCGCTTACTGCAGTTCACTCAACACATGGCTTTACTTATAATAATAAGTGACAATGCCTGAATGACTTAGCCTTCAGTCTTCCTTTGAGCTTATTCCTTTCCCTCTTGAATGCCTCATCTCCTCTCAAAGCAGAACTCTCACTGGCTTCATTGAGGCTTAGGGCCCATAGCCCAGATTTTCAAGAGCTCAGCACGTTAGGCATAGAGATCACTGGAAAATCTGGCCAAAAGTGTCACAGTAGGTGCAGCCAGGTGCCAAGCACTTCTGAAAACTGAACTGCCCCAATTATACACAAGGAGCTCTTGACAGTCTGACATAAGATGTCTGTTCCTGAAGCATCCACTGTCTAACTGCCTGCAACCCTCAACCTGTATTGCAATTTCCCCAAAACAAAGGGTGGAAGGGTAGTGCCTTATTTTTAATAATTTGGTTCCTGTGGGAGCCTTTGATTCAATGCCTATTTCTGCTTCAATAAAATATGCAAGTACTATACTCTACTTGCACCCCACTGTACTAAGTCTTTCAGTGTGGCGGGTGCTGCCAATTTAAATGATAAGCAAGAGGTGAACAGACACAGCACCTCCATGTTTTATTGACCTGCTGAGCGGTTAAGGGGAAGTTTCTACAGACTAGATCCTGCCTCCCTGACGCAGGCAGGACTCCCACGCAAATCCTTGGGGGTAAGATGTGGATGTATCTGGTTTCCTATGTATAATAGTGTCACAGTTGCATGCTGAGGGTCTCAGCAGCACACAGTATTATTTATCAATATTTCCGATACCCCCTAAGGTGCGCCTCTTGGAAGATTTCTGCATGAGAGTTTGTTAAGTGACTTCAAGTGAAAAAAAAATCAGCTATTCAGCAGTACAGATTTCCCCAGAGGCCTGTTATTATCATCTTCCCAGTTATGAGTGATTTATCCTTTGCGTTCCTGGCTTGGCATACATTTTGCAAATTATTACTCCCATTGTGAATACAACATGTCTCAACAACCAGCTCTTGCAGCCTCAGCGAAGGAGATTCTCTGCTCATTCCTTTTGTTCAGGCTGCTGTTTCCCTCAATAAAGCCAGTCAATAAACTATGTGCAGATCTGTCCTGCTTTCCATGGAGATTACCTGGGGCAAAGGGCTGCTGATCTGTGCTTGGCAAAGACACTCATCTTATTGACTGAATGCAGGCTGGGTAATTGCCAGACGGGCTTCTACAAGTAATTAAGGAGGACAGAGTGCACTTTTCTTTTTGCCTGTATGGACTGTGTCAACCTGCTGCCTAAAGAGCTGGTACAGAGTGTGCTCCTTTCCAGCAAGATTTCCTTGCTCTGCCTCCCTTCTTTGTTTTCCTCAACTTTTGTCTTTCTTATCAGTCTTATGTGGCAAGAAAAAATGTGTTTAATTCCCCACAGAAGCAGTTTCTTCACTAGGTCCCTGAAGACCCCTCTGCTAGGCTTCCCCCATGCCCTTCTGGCATATAGAAAGCAGGTAGCACAGCTCCCTGCCTCTGTGCTGAGTTGAGGGAGTAACCTCTACCCCCTAGGGATGACTGTCCATTCTCCAGCATGTTCACAGTTCCTGTCAACCACGTTGTGGGAGATGTGAGGGGCTAGGATAGGAATTCAAGAACATCTGCACCAAGACATATGGACCAACACAGTGGCAGACAGGGATGTTGGAGTCATTGTTGACTCCAGGATGAACATGAGCCACCAATGCAAGGAAGCGGTCAGTAAGGCTAACTGCAGCTTGTCGTGCATCCACAGATGCATCTCAGGCAGGTCCAAGGAGGTGATCCTTCCCCTCTGTGCGACACTGGTAAGGCCACAGTTGGAGTATTGTGTCCGGTTCTGGGTGCCGCACTTCAGGAGGGATGTGGCTAGCATCGAGAGGGTCCAGAGGAGGCCACTCGCATGGTCAAGGGGCAGCGGGGCAGGCCCTATGAAGAGAGGCTAAAGGGCCTGAATCTATTCAGCCTCCACAAGAGAAAGCTGAGAGGGGATCTGGTGGCCATTTACAAACTCATCAGGGGGGACCAGCGGGAATTGGGGGAGGCTCTGTTCCCTCGGGCACCACCCGGGGTTACTAGGAATAATGGCCACAAATTGTTAGAGAGAAAGTTCAGGCTGGACATCAGGAGACATTACTTTACAGTTAGGGCTGCCAGGCTCTGGAATGGGCTCCGAAGGGAGGTGGTGCTCTCTCCAACCTTGGGGGTCTTCAAGAGGAGGCTGGACAGGTATTTGGCTAGAGTGATATGACCCTGGCACCGGTTCCTGCCCGGGGCAGGGTGTCGGACATGATGATCTGTTTAGGTCCCTTCCGACCCTAAGCACTATGATACTATATGCTCTGGGTAGGGAGATATAGCCCCCTTTTTACAGTCTGTTATTGTTGCTAATAGCACCTTGGGAACTGGACACTTAAATCTGGGATGCAAAACAAGTCAATCTCTCCTCAGTGGGCCCACAGCTGGGGAATGGCAGCTGGTTCATTTACGTCTGTGAATTGGTAAGACAGTTAGTTTGTATTGAGGTCTCTTTAGAGCAAGAGACTGTTGGAGTGGGAGCAGTGGCCCACAACTGTGTTCCTCCACAGCTACATCTTGTACTTGTCGAGTGAGGTGGCTGCTGGAGTAAAACATTTTGCCGCAGGTCCCACGAGGCAAATATGAGCCTTGCTCTGGACTCCCAAGTCCACCCAGCTGTAAAACGGAACATGTGGTCATTGGGGCTCGGGAAACTGAGATGGCCAGATGCAATACTAGTTCCATCAATGCCTTCTTGTATACCTTCAGCTACAGGGACTGGTGTGTTTTACCATGTTACCCCAAGGAGCCATCCTGGCTTGGGTAGACCTGTGGCCTTTTTGATTTCACAGTCCCAAACCAGGCCACAGCAAATCATGACACTGGCTTAAAAATATCCCAAGATAAAAACTGGTTCATTTGGAGCTTTTGCTTCCCAATCTCTCAGTTGTGTGGAGAATACTTGGGTCACCTTCTTAAGCCCTGCAAGCAGGGGGGCTTGAAACACCATTTTGTTTTTTTAAATATAAACTGAGCCACCTCAGCCCACAAATCCAGGAGCTTGGGCTTTCAAAGTGAAATATCAACTTATCACAATATTCATGAAGAAGTGGGGAGAGCTGGTAATGGCATCACAGCACTTGAGCTTACTGGGAGACTCACAGAAAGCACAGTCTAAGAAATAATTTCCCCAAAGCAGAGAATAAGTTTATTAAACTGTAATAATTGGGACTGTTCCAAAGCTGAAACATTTATCCCCTGAGCCAGGCTCCAGCTATAACATGAGATTTGATAGATATTAGGGCTGGAAGGGACCTCATAAGATCATCGAGTCCAGCCCCCTGCCCCAGAGGCAGGAAGTCAGCTGGGGTCAAAGGATCCCAGCAAGATAAACATCCAAATGTTTCTTGAAAGTGTCCAGAGTAGGTGCTTGCACCACCTCTGGGGGAGTCTGTTCCAGGCCTTGGGGGCTTAGACAGTAGAGAAGTTTTTCTTTATGTCCAGCCTAAAATGATTTTGTAGTAGCTTGTGGCCATTAGACCTTGTCATCCTCTGGGGTGCTCTGGTGAACAGATGTTCCCCCAGATCCTGACGCACACCCCTTATGTACTTATAGGCTGCCACCAAGTCACCCCTGAACCTGTGCTTCTCCAGGCTGAAGAGTCCCATGGCTCACAGCCTCTCTTCATAAGGCCTGTTCTGTTGCCCTCTGATCATGCGCGTGGCTCTCCTCTGGATGCTTTCAAGTTTCTCCACGTCCTTCCTAAATCGTGGAGCCCAGAATTGGATGATGTACTCCAGCTGCGGCCTCACCAAAGCCGAGTACAGTGGGAGGATGACATCCTGGGTCTTGTTCGAGATGCATTGGTAGACATTAACCAGAGTTTTGTTTTTGCCAGCTGTGGCATCGCATTGGTGGCTCATGGTCATCTTGCAGTCAATCCTGACCCCCAAGTTGCTTTTGGTCATGGTGCTAGTGAGTGCAGCACTGCTGAGCCTACAAGTGTGATGTGGGTTTCTTTTCCTGAGGTGGAGCACCTTGCATTTCTCTGTATTGAATGCCATCAGATTTTCATCTGCCCACCTTGCAAGCTTATCAATGTCGGCCTGGATCACCAGTCTATCCTCAAGTGTGGACACTTCCCAAAAGTTTGGTGTCGTCAGCGAACTTAGCCAGTCCGCTTCTGACACCAGTGTCCAGATCGTTTATGAAGACATTATAGAGTACAGGTCTGAGTACGGAGCCTTGGGGGACGCCACTAGTCCCCCACCGAGTGCCATGTTGATTCGGTTCTGTCAGCTACCACTCTCTGAGTCCAACCTCGGAGCCAGTTCCCCAGGCATCGAAGTGTGAAGTAGTTGAGGCCACAGTTGCCCAATTTTTCCATGAGGACATCATGGGACACCAGGTCAAAGGCTTTTTTAAAGTCCAAATATATGATATCAACCTATTCCCTTTTGTCCAGGCGATATGTCACCTGGTCATAGAAGGAAATGAGGTTGGTCAGGCAAGATCTACCTGCAACAAACCCGTGCTGGCTATCCCTTAGAATATTGCCTTCTGTTAGCCTGTCAAGAATGGTTTCTTTGATATATTTTTACAAAATCTTCCCAGGGATTGAGGTCAAATTGATTTGCCTGTAGTTTCCCAGGTCTTCTTTCCTCCCTTTCCTGAAGATGGGCACCACATTGGCCCTCTTCCAATCTTCAGGTACTTTGCCCTAGTGCCACGAGTTCTCGAATATCCTTGCCAGTAGCTGCGTTACGATGGCTGTCAGTTCCTTTAGCACTCTTGGGTGCTATCTACCCAGACGAGCTGATTTATGGGGATCCAGCCTCTCAAGATGCTCCCTCACAAGATCTACGCCAATGGTGAGCATATACTTACCCTCACCCTGGTCATCCCACATCATGTTAGGCAGGGTGGTCCCTTTGGGCTGGTGAAAACCCAAAGCAAAGTAATCATTAAGCAGATTGGCTTTTTCCTGAATGTCGGTAGTCAGCTGTCCCTGCTGGTTTAGCAGGGTTTCAGTGTTGCCCTTGTTTTTCTTTCAACTCCCTATATATCTGAAGAAGGACTTTTTATTTTCCTTCATTCGTGTAACCAGTTGGAGTTCAGCTGCAGCCTTGGCTTTCCTAGTTTGCTCCCTGCAGGTGCAGACCAGTGAAGAATACTCCTCCTTAGTGGTGTTTCCTGTCTTCCGTTCTTTATAAGCCTCTCTTTTTAGATGTAGGAGGTCCATGAGTTCCCTGTTGAGCCAAGGGGGTTGTTGAGCCCTTTTACCACCTTTCCTATGGGTTGGGATGGACTCCTCTTGTGCTTCTCAGATTGCTTCCTTAAGGAGCAACCACTCATCATGAACTCCTCTCTCTGTGAGATCATGGCCTCTCAGGGCCTCAAGAACAAGCCCCCCCAGGCTTATGAAAGTCAGTTTTCCTAAAGTTGAGGACTACTGCATTGCTGGCTGATTTGCCAGCCTCGCGATGTATAGTAAAAGTGATCAGCTCGTGGTCACTGTCACCCAGCTTCCCTTTGATTCTTCGGTTGCTGATTAGGTCATCCCCTTTGGCCAGTACCAGATCCAGCAGTGCCTTACCTCTTGTCAGCCCATAAACTTCCTGAGAAGATGAGGAAATGCTAAAGGAACAAGCTGAGGAGGACTTGCTGGACATTGGGAGAGGGAAGAGCAGACCCCACTGCAGTCAGCTGTGGACGATGCTACATGCACCTGAATTACCACTTGCACTGTTTGGATTTTATAGTGACTCGAACCATGACAGATTTGAGGGCATTCACATGCAAGGAACCTGGGTGCAATCCTCTCCATGTCTTGTTTTGAAGAATAAGATCCGAATATAGTTCTAGCAAACCAAATGCAGCTGCAGTTTTTCCCATCTCAGCCATGGCACCATGGAGTGCCTTGAGAGCCTTTCAAGGGTGCTGCAAGTTAGCACTGGTCAAAGTGCATGCACAGTTCACAAGGTAAAGCCATAGATTTCAAATAGCACTGAGTGTCACAAACATTTTGACCTGTTGTGTTCTTTCTGAGTTCTTTGCGAAAGAATTATTGTGATACCCATATCTACAGTTTTGCTGACAGTACAGAAACAAAGTACAAAGTTGACAAAAGAGAAACCCAAGTGTTCAGACTGCACGGTTGCTACTGAGCTGCCAAAACAGGGAAACGTGGTTTCACAACATTGTCAAAGCAATGAAACACCTGTACTGGCAAACCATGAAGAGCAGCTCAGCGATGCCAAGGCCTCTGGGAGGTAAGCTGCAATCTGCAAACTTATCTCCAGGAGCCTAACCTGAAAAGATAAGAGGTGAAAAGTGTATCTCACCACAATGCGGTATAAAATAAAGTTAGTTGCAAACCACACTAACCACAAAATGTTCTAGCATTTAGCCAATCACAGTAAAGGTTAATCCAAATCCTAAATTCTGCTTAGATGCGAATAAATTTGAGCCGAAATTTAAGCAAGGTGTGGAGATCTTCGGGTTCTCATAGAAGTGTACTGCTGGGGGAACAGATGATTTAGAAGCTTTGTGGGTAGTGCATGACCGACGGCTTAGCTGTTCTGCTCCAGGCATCATCTTTAAGGGTGTCTTTAGAAACTGCGCATAAGAAGTAACAAGGCTTGAGCATGCTGTATTGGATTTTGTGAGTATACTCTGTTTATTCCTTTTCTCTTAAAGAAACAAAAGCTTCCTTCAAAGATCTGCGTGTCTATCTTAAAATAAGTTATACCGCTCGACCCATTACAGGTACGACAATTATTTTTCTATAGTCAAAAAGCAACTGAAACTAAGAGCTGGCATTTTCCAAGAGGTGTTTTCAATCTAATGAGTGCCTTGAGTCTACAAAGGTTGAGAACCACTGGCCTAATTACAGTGAAGCGCTGCACCTGAAAAGCTCAAAGTGTTTTGCAGACCTTACTGCTATTAATAATTGTGTTTAGTGGTTGTGTCTATGGGCTCAACGAGAATGGTACTCACCTCGGGTCAGAGTGCATGGCCCAAACAAGCTTTTATTAGGGGCTGATTTGCTCAGCCTAATTAATTACACTGCACCTCATGGAGCTAGGCTGTTCTCAGTGGATGACAGAGCAAGGAGCAACAATCTCAAGTGTCAGCAAGGGAAATTTAGGTTAGATATTAGGAAGAATTTTCTCACTAGGAGGGTAGTAAAACCTGGAACAGGTTATCCAGAAAGGTGGTGGAAGCTCCATCCTTGGAGGTTTTCAAAACCCAGCTAGACAAAGCTTTGGCTGGGATGATCTAGTTGGTGATGGTGCTGCTTTGATCAGGGGGCTGGACTAGATGTGACCTCCTGAGGTCCCTAACTTTCTATGATTCTATGAAGATCAGGATCTTTCAACCACAGCCGAAATGCAACCATTTCTAAGGAGATTATGCACAAGAGTTATATACTGTAATAGCTAACAGTGAAATGACACAAAAGTTTAGGGCCAACATCTGGGATGGCACCTTAGCAATGATATTTTTATACTGAATGTCCATGTTGGGGGTGGGCAAAAATGTGGACAGTGGCCTTTAAAAAAGAAAAATGCCAAGTTGTCCCACCCACTGGCTCACATACTTCCCAGGCCCAGCTACCTGCAAGATGCCCTTTCCTTGCAGTACAGGCAGGATGTCAAACATCTTGATCGGAGGATGTTATCAACAGATGGCAATTCCCAGCTAATTCTATTTAGACCTGCTTTGCTCTGCTGAGCCCATTCTGTGATCAGATGAGAAGATGCTCTGCAGTCAAACCCACTGGTTTTAATTATGCTCTACTGTGATTTCCCAAAACATACAAAAAACCAGCAAAATAATAAAGGTCTGGAGGTATTAGCTGCTGCTTTCTCTTCCTCAGAGAACCTGCTCTGCAGTCAGGCAGAAGTTGAGCTTGGGAAATGATTAGAGATAACCTTCTACCAGGTGTTAATGCTGAGCTGCTTGGCTTGTCCCCTCCCCGAGGTCAACCCCAGAGGAGGAGACTTGCGGAGATGTACCTCATGTAGATCCTTCTCAGTTTCTGTTCGATCACTTTGGTAGCATGGGGTGAGGGTTTCGCCTGGACTGCAAGCCCTCTGCCACAAACCCAGTGGATCTTTAGGGATGTGCAGGAGACCAGAGCCAGTTCTGCAGGGCCCCATACCTCTGCACCAGCTGTGGGGAGCAGATGTCTTCATCCAGTTCTATGTTTTCCATGATGAGATCAGACCAGGAGCTCCTGCCTCCTCTGTAAAGTGAGCTCCCTGATACAGCTGGGTCTCTTGAGCCTGTGCTTCTTCCCAGGCCCAAGCTGTATGTCTTTCCTGGGAAATCCAGAAGGGAGATGATGTGTTCATCTCCCATCCATATCTCAGAGCTATTCACTCTCTGTCTCAAGCCTGCTTAGTCGCTGCCCCTTCCTTCATGCAGCTTCCAATCCCCCTGGTGCTCTGGGGAGAGGGGAAAAGACACTGCTGATACCCCTGTCCTGAAAGGTCATAAGCTGCATTAGTGTCAAGTCAGTGAGAAGGCAGCATAGACAGTATAGACTAAATAACTATATAGAGCACAGGTTTTTATTAATCAAAGTTTACTTTGTCCCCATCTTGCACAGGGAAGAGAGTTCTATTTTTCTCTTCTGGATGTGGAATCTGGCCTATATGTGACATAAGACTGGAACAAACCTCATGGGTCAGTGTGTCCAGTCCCTTGTGATCACAACCAGCCATGCAATAAAGGTCGTCCAAAGGGTCCACGAGAACATGAGCAACATAAGAACTGCCTTAGGTCCATCTTGCCTAGTATCCTGACACACGCAGTGGCTGAAAGGGAGAGTGAACAGGACATGACTAGTGGGGCTGTGTGAGGCTTCAAGTGGTGATTCGATTTGGAGGAAATTTGGCCCGATTTGATGGCCGAATCTCTGAATCCGAATCGAATCAGGGGACCAATTAAAAGGTCCGAATCAATTCAAAGGTCTCCGAATCTTCGGAAAATATTTGGAGAGCTTTGATGATTTGGGCAGTCCCTGGTGGCTGCAGCAGGAGCTGTAGCTGGACTTGGAGCTGGTAAGTACTAGGGGTGGAGGAGGGAGCGCTGGGGTAGCGGGGAGGGGACCATGGAGGAACCCCTGCCGGACGCCCTGACCTCCCCCCGCTCCCCCAGCCCCCGGGGGGTGATCCCTGCTGCCCCCCACTGCCTCACACTGCATGGGGGGGGCTCTGCATGAGCCCCTGACCCTCTCCTCACTCCCCCAGCCCCACCACGGGTGCCTCACCCAGGCCAGCTCTGGCCCTTTAAGAAAAAAAAATGGAGAAAAACCCCAGGACTCACCGGCTTCAGGAGGCTGTGGAAGAGCCCCCCATGTGGTGTGGGGCAGCAGGTGGCACTGGGGCTTACCCCCCTTGCCAGCAGGAACGGTGAGTGCGGGGGTTTTCTCGGGGTTTTTTTTCTTGAAAGGTTGGAGCTGGCCCATGCGGGGCACTCGTGGTGGGGCTGGAGGAGCAAGGGGGAGGGTCAGCTCTCATGCAGAGCCCCCCATACAGCATGGGGCAGTGGGGGGCAGCGGGGATCACCCCCCCCCCCCCGCCCGGCAGCACCCACTGAGTCAGGACTTGTTTAAAAAAAAGTGCTGAGAGCTGGGGTGGGCGGGTGAGGCGGCGAGCCTGGCCGATTTGGAGATTCGGCAGCAGCTGAATCTCCGAATCAGATTTGCCCAAATCAATTCAGGACAGTGATTCAAATCACCGAATGGAATCACTGTCCCGTGAATCGGCCACGTCCAAATCCAGTGCAAATACTAGCCACTTCACACAGGCCTAATGACTAGGGTTTTTTCCACTGTTCCTCTCCCACTTGCAGCCTCCAG